GTGCAAACAGCAGTTAATCTAAATGAAGAAAGATAAGATGAAAAAAGTATAGAAATAGAAACCCAGTAAAGCATAATGAATTTGTATATTCTTCTGCTGGACCAATTATTCTCCTTACAGTATGTGATGCAACAGACAGACAGGAGAGCCCACTGTTAGAATGATATGGCAGAATTACTCATGAGGGTTATTTCCATTTTATCCTTACCAGAGTATATTATTTAGGTTAGTTCAGATACTCTTCATTTTATAAGCACCAAGCTGACCTCTTTAGTGACATAAATTAACACATTTTTTTATAACAAACAGAGTATGACAGACTGCATCAAAATCATTCGCTTATGGACTTAAAAAGTTTAAAATAATTGAAATTATATATTGTCCAGAAAAAGTACCTATTCTATGCTTTGTCTGAATTCCTGCACTGCAGCCTTCAGGATAAAAATCCAGACATCCCAAAGTGATGATTCTCCATCTTCTTTTTTGAGCTTCTTAATGAGAATTATGTTACAAAGATTTTTAAAAATCCTTTATCATTATCATCTGCTGAGATTCTCAGTCTGAGCCCTTCCTTTTCTAGCCAAAAAATGGCAACATCTACGGGTGTCTTCATCTCCAAAAGGCAAAGATAGTAGGAAAAAAACCTGAAAAGCAGAACTGAATTGCTTACTGCTCCCTGCAGGGTACAAAGACTGTCCCCTAGGTAGTTCCCACCATGGTCAGGGAAAGACCAACTGTGTCTCTACTTCTGCCCTACACTAGTGTTTCTGTATGAGATGCAAATTTCCTGTCTCAGCAGAGTATCACTGCCTAAGCTGGGATGCTATAGCTCGCAGGAATCTAAATTCTCAGTGACCATGTCTCTTTTAGCATCCTGTTTCTCATCCTGTGCTCTACAGCTATCCCTCCTGCACAAGCTGTAAATTAGTGTCATGCCATTTTCAGTAGCAGGTTTGATCTTCCCATAGGAATTTCCCATGCAAGCTATTTTCTCCAAATTATTCACATTAGTATTCACATTAAACCTTACCAGTTCCTGATTTCCATAGGTCCTAAAAGATCATAGATTCAGCTTCCATTTTTGGGTATCAAAAATACTTCGATAGTGAAAGTGAAGGTGAAAGCTGACCTGTAAAATGTTGCCGATAGACCTTATGATACTGAGCAACTGGGCAATGACTAGAAAATTAAATTCAGTGTAGATAATCATAAAGTAATGCACGTGAGAAAAGCCATATTACATATTTATGCACATACATAATGGTGGTCCTTGAGCCAACATTTGCTAGCAACGGGTGAGATCTGGAAGTGAAATATGTCCATGAAAACGTAAGTTCATTGCTTGGAAGTAGTTAAATAAGCAAAGTGAATGTTACTAGGAAAAGAATGTCAATTGCAGAAATTGGAAACATTCATTATATGTACTGTTTAGACAATGCATTCTAAAGGAGGCACATGGGATAAATGGAGTTCATAGTGCAGAGAATAGAAAACTATTGCAAAATATGTTTTGTCAGTAAGAGTGTATGACCATGAAGGAACATTTCAAATAAAAGATACCAGTTTTGTTGGTAGTAACTGAGGTAGTAATCATTCCTTGATCTTGTGGCTTCATATACAAAATGCAAAAATTACCATATTCAGTGTAAAATTGGGCAGCAATTCCACTGACAGGAGTATTCTTAGCAGAAATGTCTTTAATAAAAGGACACAGAAATTTTCCAATACTGCAAATAAGGAAGTGATATGAAAACAAAGGGCAGAATTACCACACTTCCATAGCATTATGGCAGTGATAAGGAAAAATGAGCACTAAAGCTAAATTAATGACACTCATTACATTATTTAATGTAATTTACATCAATAACACTCTACATGGATGGTAAAGTGATGCTGATATGGTTGAAAATAATACACATCCTTGGGTCAAAAAGCAAAACACATGCTATCAAATGGTATAAATGTGTCTCTCAAAGTATTTAAGTATTATTTTCTTACAGTGAAGCTACAGAAAAGCTTTGCAAATTTTTTGCACCCTGTTTTTCCTCTGAACTCATCTCTTTTATGCTCTCATAAATCTTGCCCTGGTGAATTTTTAATGATGATAGCTCATACCTGATTTTTGAACACTTACCTGTGAGCAGATCATAAGGCTTCCATATTCATGGGGACAATGAAGAGCCAATGTCCAAGACTGGTTGATAAGCTTATCTGTTAAGACAGTTAATGCAGAGGAAAGACATGAAATGTAGGCCAGCAGCAAATATTAGCATAGGGAGTTCAATCATTCTGCAATGCAAAAAGTGCTGTCTATCCTTTACTTCTTTTATTTGCACGTCTCCTTTATTTCCCCTTAATTTGCAATCTTTCCCAGCTTAGGTCCAGCGCAGATAGCACCTGACCATGAGATGGTGAGAGCAGTGGGGCATATGTCAGGTGGATTCTTGCTTTCCCATCATGGCAGCCACTCAGCCTTCTGCAGCAACCAGATGTCACAGCCCACAGTGTCTCATGCTAACCCACTCTATGTTGGGTTGTTCTGACATGTCCAGGAGCAGTCTCTTTATTTCTGCTGACCAATGCAAGCTTCTGACCCACATGAGTTACAGATCCCATGGTGGGATCCAAAGGGATGTCTTTGAGGTGCTGGTTTCCTTGGCCAGGTTGAAATAACTAGGCTCTCTTCGTTAGGGGTCTCCTGTGCCCGCTGTATTCGTCTATCTGGTCACCAAGTCTCAGTTTCATCCTTCCCTGCCTCCCTCCCCCCAACCTGATAAACACTATAGCCATTTACTTAACCTTTAAGATATGATCTGAGCATATATTCATGTTTTATTTTACATCTCAGTTACGCTATTTTCTCTTTTACTGTTCTTCACAAAAGGTGACCAGGTGCCTCTGTCCAGGATGATTCTGCAAGTTTTTGCTTTCTGTATGTTTGTCTGTCCTCATTTTCAAGGTCATTCAGGTTATTATTTTCTTTTTAAAAACTAATGTTTCATTCCATGTTGAAAGTTCAGTTTCTGACCCTGACAAAGTTTTTATACCATCACTTAGAGCCTATGTGGGTTTAGAGTTGTTTTTTGGGGTTTTTAGAAAAGCTTCCAAGAATCCCCTCTCTTGATCAGAGTCCTCATGGTGGGAAGAGTTCCTTTTAAAACTCTACTTGGCTCCCTTGCTGTCTTCTGTCAAATCTCTCTTTGAGTGATGCCTTTAGTCAACTCACAATGGAGCCATTATCCACCTTACTGGTCACTACAAGGTCATTGTTTCCATATACACATCACTCACACTGTTTTACTTTACAGAGAGGCTTTAACCTCTTTGAGATGAAAATAGGGTCTTTGTCCTGCATTTGCACAGCACCCAAAACATAGACTAGGACTCCTTCTACAGTGTTATGATTTAAAAAAAATAAGATGGTCTCAGCAATAGAGAAAACTGAACTTTGCTTTATAGTCTCCAATCACCCAGATCCAGGTTAAATTGCTGGCAGCCTTGTGAATCCCTCTGCAATATGCCGGAGGAACAATATTATTTGCCTACAGTGGTTTTCTTTATAAAAGCAGAAGTCTGGAGCAATGAAGTTTCTTGAGAAAGGTGATCAGTTAACTGGAGTGAAACTGCTTCTCCTTTCATTGTTTTCAGTCCCTTGAGGAGAGAAAGGAGGGACTTCTTTTAAAAAATGAGAAGCAAACAAATCGGAGTGGAAATACAAAAACAGGACTAAAGACAAAAGCTTTTCTTGGAGATTCTGATCTCTATGATGGGCCTCATCCTTTCTCCTCTGGCTGCAGTGCTGTTTTGGTCAATCATCCTCCTATGAAATACGTTGCTCACAGAGAAACAAGGTTATCCATCTCACCATTAAGCCACTAGGATTTCCCATAGAATCACAGAATCACAGAATCACAGAATCAGGCTACTGTATCTTCGGTATGAATACTGCCTCCAACACGGATTAGCATGAGGCTTGAAAAACATTTGAGAAACCACCATGTTAAGCGTAAATACAAACGGTACAGGACAACCTTCTAGCTAGGACTACAGAGGGAGTAACCACTTCAACAGCTGTGACTAAGGAGCTGGTTAGAAACAGCTGCTGTACTATATTGTTGCCCAGACAGAACATGGTATTACCTGCAGAAGCTGTGGGCTAGACTGACTGGTACATCATAGGGCACTGCACAACTTTGGTAATGAAACACACTAAACAATGTAAAAAGAAGAAACAAAACCCCTTTGGATAATAAGGCAGCTGTTTGCTATTTGACAAAGAATCCCAGGGCAGAGCTGCGCTGTTATTCTGTAGAGGGAAAAGCGCTGGCCATAGCAGTTAAGGGACTCACGAAACCCACATTGAGAGAAAGGATAGAGACAACGTCTGATCTGAGGGGATTAGTTTGAATGGTCAGCTACTCACAAGAATTGTGATGTGGGCACAGTAGTCAATGTGTGTTGATAATTACTCTAGGCCTGACCACAAAAGCCCCACTTCATACTAAATTCTTTGTAAAGCAATCATATAAGCTTGCAGTAAAAGAGATACGACAAATTGGTAGCAAATGTTATCATCACAATTTGATTTTAAATAAGAAAGATGCAGCATTTGTGCTGTGGGTTCTTCCCAAATAGTTAAGCTTGGTTTGTCTCCAGCCAAATTCATTCATTATACCCCTTGGTTTTATGATATTATACATTAAAGTATTTTCTTTTCCAGTGGGCTATTTTATTACCCTCTCTTCATCCTCACAGAAGGTTTCTGTTGTTCACAGTGGGTGTACAATGCATTTTTGTTTGCACCTCATTCAGCTAAATTATAAATATCTGAACACAATTTACCACTTGAAAATGAAATGCTGCAAAAAACTAAAGCCACAATTTTGAAGTTCTCAGTGGAAAATTTTTTCAAGTTCACCAGATAAATTGAATTTATATATTAAGTAAGTAACCTCTTAATAAATTTAAATAACCCCTCCTGAAAAATAGTTTATTTTTATGTTCTTTATTCCACCAAAACTGCATTGCAGTTTTCCAGTCTTTATATTTACATTATTTGCAACTCTTTCCATAAGTGCCAGTACAAATGTAACTGATGAAAATCCAGAATACTCATACAAATGTTCCTGAAAGCAAGATGCATTTCTGAGCAATCTTTTTTCTGATGCGCAATAATATATATGTATATATTAACAAAGCTTCATAATATAAAATATCTTCCATGGCAAGTAAAACTTCCCCACTTACAGCTTATTCAGATTTCAGTTACATAGACTTCTGCATTTCAAGTTAGTGCAAATAATGAAAGTAAGAGCCTGAGCAGAATGATGTAAATACAATGGAAGAAGAGAAAGAGCAGAATTTTACTGACTCCCTGCATATGGTTATAACATTTGATCAGTATATCATTAGTAATCTTTATATACAATGTATTTAAATAATTGGCTTGTTTGAACTATAGGCCACAAATTTACAAATTAAAATAAAATAATGTTTCACACAAATATGGAATGTCCGACAAATATATGAAAATAAAATGCATCTAGTAACAAAATGCTGTAAATCAAAAAGGTAAAAGATGTCTTCTCTGTCTTGGAAGATTTCAAGGCACTTTCTTGGCAAATCAGAGTTCTCTCCTTAGTAGAAAGTCTGCAAGAGAAAAAGACATGCCATTTTATAACTAGTTTTAAAACACAAAGGCAGACTGCTTAGTATAATTCCGTTTATAAATCAGTTTCCTGTGGATTGCATAAATCTTAAGATTAACTCCAGAATGCCAGTGAGTCTTGCCCTCCTGTGAACACTAAGGAGTTTTTGCCGTGGCAAATCCTCAGCGTTGATGCGAAGAGGTTTAACACATAGTGGCCCACGCTGCTGCATCTTACAAGGAAGTTTCCCATGCAGAGCATAGGGTCATGTGCATTTCTAGATTCTGGGTGTCATCAAATGCTTTACTTCCATTTGCAAGGATTGGAATTAGAGCGGGGAAAAAAAAAAAAAAGCAAAAAAAAAGCAACCCAATCAAAAATAAAAACAAACAAACAAAAAACCCCAACCCAAACCCAAAAACCCCAACCCACGCTAAAAGCCACAGCGGCGAGTACTGCTACAAGTGTGCGCCGCGGGCCCCTGCTGCGGCGCCGGGCCGCCCCCCCGGCGGCCTTCTCCATGGTGCTGAAACAGCCCGCGGCCGCTGCCCTTCGGCCCCCGCTACAGCCTGCACTACCCGCTCCAGTGGGAAGATAAGGTCTTCCCAGGCAAAACCTCCTTTCTAACACGAACAGACCGCGTTTCCTTTTTTGTACCCAGGTATTTACAGGAGAGGGAGTAAAATGTTCGCCTAATAGAGCTGCAGTTCTTTTTTATGAGGAAAATGCAGCCTATTTTAGTACATGCAGGAGGAATGCTTAAAAATAGTTGTCAGTCCTTCAAGTGGGAGAGCCTCCTTCTCAAAGGCAACTGCGAATCTCCAAGACTCTCTCAGATGTTAAAGCAAAGGCAAATTCCCTTGCAGTAAACAGGAACTATGACTCTGTTCTCTCTAAGTTAGTGTGAGGGCAGTGAGGAAAACAGATCCTCTGTGCCAAAAGATGCAGGTAAAGCAATCACAGAATCATGCTACAAATGCAGTGTTACTGAGGGATGAAAATATATAACTCTTGTGCAGCCCAGGCTATTTGGAGGGAAAAGAGAGAGATTCCTGCCACTCTTCATCCTGCTCAGGAAAATGTTTCCATCCCAAAAAGATACTGGATATGAGTAAACATGAAGACCTGAGCTTGTTTTATCTCTAGTGGAAACTAGCCACTTTACCTGCTTGTTGGAGGAACAGGGTGAGGGAGCACAAAGGCAGCTGGGAAACACTCAGATCATAGCTCTACTTTTTCCAATAACATTTTCTCTATTTTTAACAAAGAAGAGAAAAAGTCAGCCTAGATAAAACTTTAAATGAACACAGTGCACATGAGCTGCTAACATTGCTTACCATTTAAACCTTCCCTTCCCCACATGTCATCTCTTTGAGTGTATTTTTGGCAGGCAAATTAGAACACCTGGATTTGCAAATGATAGCAACTTTTGATCCTTTTGTATTATAAAGATGGAAATAGGATGAGATAGATGCTTCTGTACTGTGGATATGAAGGCATATCTTTGACTCATCCACTTGAAAGAAAAGGAAAAATGTATTGGAACATCCAGAAATCTTTCTGGAAGCCCTGAGCCATGAACCCAGAGGTGTAAAGGGATACAGACCAGGGAAAACACAGATTAAATAGGTGAAACTTCATAAAATGAAATAGTGCTGGGATGTTTTAGAAAGTTGAGATTTTAAAGAGAACACTAACAAACAAACAGGAATTTAGGCACCTCAAAAAAAAAAAAGTAAAAAAAAAGGGCATTCAAAAAAAGGATTCCTGCCCTTAGTCACAAAAAGGAGAACCTGGTAAAGAAATGAGATCCCTGGTCAGTTTCTGGTTCAGTGCCCCTGTTCTATTCAAAACCATCTGCAATAACTGGAAGGCAAGAGGCCAAACAGACTAAAAATAGTTAAGAAAAAAACAAAGAAGAGAAAGAAATTATGTCATTTCTTCTCAGCACTGAAATATTGCCACATTCTTCAAATCATTTTCTCACAGCCACCAAAATGAATCCCACCTCCACTTGGAAACGAAATCAGCTAACACTGACTCATATCCCACTCTTCCTTTCTTATTCTTGATTAGTGTGAATTGAAGTCTTGATGCAGGAAAAAGTGACATACACAACTCCCTCAAACTCCAAGCTTGCAGTATTTGTCAGGAGGAGGCAGTGAAAGGAAGAAGAAATCTTCAAAGCATCTTTGAAGAAATTTAAATAAATTAAATACACTGATTTTATATATTTTATTGGTCAATAAAAACCACTGCAGTTTTTCAAATTACGGTTGGAAGTGTAACCGTCTTATTGACATTCAAACATTTGGAGAAAACAGCTCACTTGAAAATGTTCCTTTTATCAGTGACAATGCTGTTAATTAACACATTTAACATGCTATTCATAAACAAGAATGGAGTGGTTACTTCCACAGCCTGTTACTTGAAGCCTTTAGCTTTGTCACTCTTTATGTTTCAGTTTACTTCCATCAACATGAAGTGGTATTAACTTTAGAGGAATTCTCAGGAGACAATCTGGGAATGAAAAATGGTCCCAAAGATGAATAAAGTGACAGGGTATCTATGAAGATTGCATTGGCAGACCTGAGATTAAGACATTCTGCTTCTTCCATGGATTAAAGCCCTCTTTCTGAAAGACCTGAAATAAATATGTTGATGAAGTTCTCGTGCATTTTTCTTTCACCAACCAGACTCCTTCTTAAAATTTTGAACAGTAAGAAGTCACCCAGTGCATAATTATGCACTGTATCTGTTCTTCTATGTATTCCCCTGAGGAACCAGTCAGTCCTTACAGGAATGTCAGAGCTGCATGTTGATGCACTCTGTTATTATCACATTTCTGTATGCATGCCTGATAACAAATACAAGAGTGAAGTAAATCACTAGATCATTCAACAAATAAGAAAATGAGTGGGAAAAATGATACTTACATAGCAAACATCCTAGGACTGTGTACACAAAGGGCTCATTGCTAATCTTGTTAGCAACCTTGCACACCTTTTATAATCTATAAAACAAAATTACCCACAGCAATAATGAATCTCATTTGCCAGATACTGTCAAAAAACTGCATAAAATTAAATGTATAATTTTTACTAGAATTTCATACACTCTACACAGTGAAACCATTGTCTGATGGAAATTCATTAAACTATGTGTGCAAGATGCAATATTAGATTGTACCTTATCCTAGCCAGGGCTCTAGAGGAAATGTGAGTGATGGTAGCAATTAATTTTCTACCAAGTAGTTTCCTCTCAACATGTAGAAGACCAGGTTCAACTCTCAACTTTACGTGAAGGAATTTAATTCATTAACTGTGAGACTATTCTAACCAGCAGACTATGAGGTAGTTTGAGGTCTGGCTCATTCAAATTTTTTATTGTTCCACTTAGTTTTAACATTGGTGGAAATCCATATTTTCCATGTCTAAGTACATCTCCTAATCATCAGACTAGAGATACTAGTGTCCTACTTGCTGTCTCTCTCTCTGGTGTCCTTGGTTCAAAGGACCACTTTGTCCAAGTGGCCCCTGAGGCGCTACTGTCCTTTCTGATGGAAAGATATAACTATTTGGTAACAAGAAATACTTAGGTGCAATTTTCTTCTCTTGCTTGATAAGTATTTTAACAAAAGTTAATAGAAATTGTACCAAACAGCAAGAGACTTGAATGTTAACCTGGGTTCAGTTCTTCAGGGAATGTTTGTATAGAATATAACCATGTCAGCAGGAGAGGAAGTAACTCATCCTTAGACATCCTACGGTGGCTAAGGTGTCACTGAAAGAAAATATCAAACCCCTCTAAAGAGATAGGAAAAGATCCTGGCTATGATCAGCCTTGATAGCTATTCTAAACCCTGAGTGCTGGAGAAGGTGGAGACATTTCTGAGGATTTAGCTCTCCTCTTTAGATCAACAGAAATTTCAGGCTGAATGAAACTCATTGTCTGTTTTGGGTTGGGTTGACATAAAGGACAAAAGAACAACCTGCTTTTGTTTTAATTGCACTTTTTCTTTTGCATTTTGTTTTGATAGTTGAACTTAAAAATCAGCTCTTCACACAGTCCTAACCACAATCTTGTTTTTAAACTTAGAGAAATCCTATTTAATTAGAAGAGAAATATTATGACTGTTTTTTTGTAAATAAAGTGAAGCACTCAGGAAATACCAGGACGTCCAAATAATATTCACAGACTCTGGATCCATGTATCAAGGTATGCCACATGCAACATGCATGGCATTTTTGTTATGCAGCATGTAATAGATATACGTCTAGCCTACTCATATGTCTACTTACAAAGCTCTATGTATACCTTTTGAGGATCAGCCATGGATTTCTACATTCCAGCTTCTGACCAGTGTAAGGGCAGATGGAGACAAGGGCTCTCCAGCCCCTTTCAAAAGCCAGGTCCTCCAAGGTGCTGAGCTTTGGTGAGAGAGCATCTCAGCTGCTCACAAAAAGTGCTTACTGTCTTTCTAAGTGATGCAGACAAGTGTCACTATTTTTTCATGTTAAATCCTGAAAAATTACCAAGGCACCCTGGTCCATAGTTTATGCTTACACATCACTAATGATATTCACCTTTTCTAATTAAATAGTATTCCTTATTTTCCACTCACTTTATTTGAATTGTCCATTGCACTAGAGAACACTGAAGTAACTTCTTTGCAAGGGATTTTCATTTTGTTTGGGGTTTTTTTGTTTATTTGTTTTATCCATTTGACAACATTTTAGGACAGTTTTATTTTTCAATCTCACTGACAAAATTAGATTCAGGCTGTGTTGAAGCAAAACTTATGTGGATCTCATACTGGAATATTCTTTTATAAGTACTGCACATATCAATAAGAGAAATGATGAATTAATTGATTTTATGTTCTTTAACAATGAGCATAAAATAGAAAATTATTATCACAAACTGAAATATACTAAAAAAAACAAGATATAACTGTACTATGTAACTACTGCATTAAGAGAAGGTAGAGAATGGTTCAGATTTTATCTTATTGCACAAGTATAAGTAGAGGTAAAGGGAGCAGGAAGGAGAACACAGCTTCATATCTGCCCTCTGCATAGGCATGCTCAACTAGTTTTTCAGAGTGTAGTTTTCATTTCATTTATGTTTGTCTCACTTTGAAGGAACTCCACCACATGCAGCTGACTGCAAGTGCATTAGAAAATCTTTGTATATTGGAAGACCTTGGGTGTATTTTGTAGTATAAAGTTAAAGTAAAGAGAAACAGTTACAAAAGCACCAGTGATATTTGTTACATCAAACCCTTAGTAGGAAAAGGAGGTTGCTTTTAGACAAGTATCACAGCTAGCATTATAAGGTCCTTTAACTACTACTTACAGGCTGGCGTTGAGCAATCCCTTGTGTTGTGATACAGTCGATGAAAATGCTTGCTACACTCTGATGAAAATGTGACTGGCCCTGTTTGAAAGTAAGCAGGAGTTAACCATAAACTTTCAGTGTCACTGCTTTGCAGCTTCAATGAATGACATCGACACATAGAATTAATTTCCCTGTGCTTTCACAAATTTACGTTTAATTTTTTTATTATACCTTAAACAATTATGATGCAACATGAGTATAACAATGCCACTGAAATAACAGAAAGAAATACTATTGTTATGCTATTATGCTGATGATCTGAAGAGCAGAAAAATGGGTCTCGGAAACAATGGACTGGCTTAGCCTTGAAATTCCAGTAATTCAAAATTAACAGTAAAATTTCTTATATGGTGAATAATAGAATTGTGCAACTACAACAGAATTTAGTTTGCTAAACAGTCATCAGTATTCTAATGTAGAAGGAATGTGGATATTATTTCTAAAGATAAATAAAAGCAAATATGAATTTCTATGCCCTGGAAAGATGAAGTAGTTTCATGTACTAATGCTTCTAATTTGCATTAGATGGTTTATGAAGTTCTTAATATGCAATGTTGCAGAAAAAAAATGACAGCTGAATAGCATCTAGGAACCTGATAACCTGGTAAAATAGTCCTAGCAAGAAAGGATGCAGATGTGCAGAGGGCAGCACGTGTTTCAATGTTAGGGTGAGGCAAATCTCTGTGTGCCCAAGGCGTAGTGTGCTGTGTCTGTTCTTCCAGCCTCTGCTTCCTTCCCTGGATATCAGTGTCACCTACCAACATTAATATTTGATAGAAGTATATAGCTACTGGTCTCCAAAACACAGCTTAAATGTAACAAGTTGCCAAAGAGCCCTTCCATAATTGCTGATGGCCCTGGGAAGGTATAACTGATGGCATCCAAGCTGAAAAGGAAAATAAAAATGTAGTATTTGCATCATATAACTTGCTTAGCAGTACTACCACTGACAGCTGGGGATGAGTTTCCTGTGATTTGGACAGAAAACACTGACATAAATTGAGACTAACTGAACAAGACTAAAGTTAACTTGCATCCTCTACATTCAGCACAAAAAGGAGCCCTGAATAAGAATAGCTTGTTTCAAGCAGTACTACAAAAGGATCCCTATGAAGCATGCTGCTTTGACTGACTTTCCCGTCAGAGGAAGACAGTAAGCATTTCTGGGCAAAAATTATTTATTTCACAACTTGAAAGGTGGTTTATCAGCCTGGTAAAACATACCAAGTCAGTTCTGTCTGGATAGAGGAGCCAAACTACCACAAGCTTGAGGGAAGATTCCTCTTTATGACAGTGAACACACTTGAACATTAAAAATGTCTTACAGTTATATGTAGATTTCATGAATTTTTTCAGCCACAAATAAGCTTCTCATTAAACTGACAAAGCAGCCTTTGCAACTTTGAACTGGAAGATTGTTGTTTGTGGGGTTTTTTTTGAGTAATTAGGCTCAAAAGTAAGTATGTAATTTTAAATTATCCAAGATATATGGAGATAACATCAGCTTTTGTCGCTAAAGAAATTCCATGTACCTTCAGATAATACATCGTTTTCTAGCTCTCTTTCTTGCCATCAAAAATAGGCTGTTAATTTTACTTGTGCCTTACAGAGCACTCTGTGTCAGCTGGCTTTTCAAGCTGAATTGATAGATAGCTTTATGACTCACAAGATTATTTATTACTTTTCCTATAATTGAGGACTGTAACATATGTTTCTTACTTGGGTTTAAAATGTATCTACTATTCTTGGCATACTAGAAGTGTACAATGCTTTTCTTAACCCTGAAACTATAAAGATAATGGACTGTAAAGATAATGTTGATTTCCCCATCTCTCCTCTTTTTCACAACTTCATTAGTTTAGAATGTTCTAATTCTTGAACTAGTAAGGACTATACCTGAACAGTTTACTTAACTAAGGTTGATAGAAAAAGGATTATGATTTGAACAGGATCAAGAAAAATAAAGCTGTATTTTAAGAAAACGTCTGCGGATTACAGGACTTCATAAAGCTGCAGAAAAGAAAAAAACAGACAGAAAAACTCATCTTAAGAGCATAATAAGGAAGGAAGGAAGGAAGGAAGGAAGGAAGGAAGGAAGGAAGGAAGGAAGGAAGGAAGGAAGGAAGGAAGGAAGGAAGGAAGGAAGGAAGGAAGGAAGGAAGGAAGGAAGGAAGGAAGGAAGGAAGGAAGGAAGGAAGGAAGGAAGGAAGGAAGGAAGGAAGGAAGGAAGGAAGGAAGGAAGGAAGGAAGGAAGGAAGGAAGGAAGGAAGGAAGGAAGGAAGGAAGGAAGGAAGGAAGGAAGGAAGGAAGGAAGGAAGGAAGGAAGGAAGGAAGGAAGGAAGGAAGGAAGGAAGGAAGGAAGGAAGGAAGGAAGGAAGGAAGAAGATGTAGGCAGAAATTCTGAGCCAACAAAGAAATAAACTTCAAGAATTTTGGAATGAGCTTGCTTTCCTTATTCATTCCAGCTAATGTTAGTCAAACTATTTCAGTAATTTTGATGGCAATTACTCATGCAGAAAAGGACTTTTAATTTCATGAATGGCTTCAGAAAGTGGTCTTCAAGTATTATTTTGCTCTTTTTCTTTTCTATGATTTAGTATTCTCACAATACCTTCTGTAAAACTCATGTTTGTTTTTCACTGTTGTTTCTGAGTAATGACACTTGTTCTGTATTCATTATTTAGCTTCTCCAGATTCTTATGCTGAGCTTTTTATGGCAGCTGAGTGGTTTCCAAAGTTAAAAATGAAAAGGAAATGGATTAATTATTAATATAAGCAAATCTTTCTTGTCTGTCCTCCCCTGGAGAGTAATTTCCAGTACTCCTATGCTACATAGGATAGAATAGTTGGATCTGTATGTTCTTGTTATTTCTTTCTCATATGGATTGAAAATGGTAAGATTCATAATTACTCTTGTTTACTGTAAGAGTGAAGGGCCAGCTGGGTGTAGCACGTTTCCTGTAGATGCTCTTAGGCTGCAGTTAGCAGTTGGCAGAAAGATCCTAAAATTGTGTTTATCCTAAAGTTTTGAAGACACTTCCCCCATGCAAAAGAGACAACAATTTTTTTCCTTTCTTGCAAAGGGCTGTCTGAAGTTTCCAGCAAAGAGGAAATGCATAATTATTTCCAATTCTCTTTTTCATGCCTCAGCTGCCAACTATTTTTCTAGTATTTAGTTTCACTAATCCCAATAACATTTAAAATTACCTACAGATTTGCAGTGTCATACTCTGAAACCTTCACTTTTCTGAATTACAGAGTATTTGGAACTGAAGAGTAAAGAATCAGTGCAACTATCTTGCTGTTGGCAACTATTTTTGTGTATATTCAGAAGGTACAGTATTTTTCCAGTTGTTACAAAAATAAGAGCCCCAAAGGTAAGTGCATTATGCAACTCTATCTCAGTTTTCAAGTACAAGTACTTGACTCTGATCCCATTAAACTTTCATATCTGAAATAGCAAATTATTTTTCTGATTCATTTACACTGTTTCATCCTTCCTTGTTCCATTTGTTTTTCTTGTTAAAATAAGTATCCACAGGTATACACCATGAGACAAGACAAAATGTGTTTCCCTGATATAGTGAAAACTTACATGGTCACATATGCCTGTTTCTAGAAGATACTTGCAGTCCAGTGAGAAGTTTTAAAATTAGTGAACTTGAAAATAAATATGGTAGGACTGATGAAAAATATGGAAATAATACATATATTTAAAATTAAAAATGTACTGAGTTCTCTCATTAAGATACTACTTGCCAGAGATAGCAGATAGCTGCTCACCCATATCACATTTTTAACACCATACTGCAAACTGTTTGCACATAGATATACAATGCAGTAACTACAGCACACAGACATATACACATTCAGTACCTACAACTATTAAACTTGTAGTGTAGCTGCAAATCAACAGGCAACAACAGGATGATAAAAATGAAATAACAGGTTTTAAATCATGAATATTTTAATTTACCATGTATTGAAAGTTACTTTAGGCTAGATTATTTAGGTAAACTCAAACCTAAATGTAATTAGAGTTCTGTAAAAACTTCTAGTCCTAAACAATGCAAATTTAACTTCACAAATGTTAAACTTGATGCAGATCCTCAAAAAAGCTAATGGTGTGACTCTTGTGGTTACTTAGAATATGCATATGCAGGTAAATTAAGAGCAAGCAGCTGCCTTACCTGTAAAATGTTTTATGAATTTGTCTTTTAGACTGGAATCTCTTGGAAAAATTTCTGAGGAGAGAAGAAAAAAAGTGTGTAATATAGGAATTATGATATAAGCTCTGAAAGCATAATATGCCAAGATGCCTGCTGTGCAGAGACCCAATAGCCTCCCAAATTAACTATGAAATTACTTTTGCATTTACGTGTGTGTGTGTAAACAACATTTCAAGTAATTCACATATGAATACCAACTGGTCATCCTACAACACACTATCAGGTTTTCTGAGAATCATTTCTACACATCTTAAGTTGTGTTATAATTTTATAAATATTTATATGAAAAAGCTATCATGTTATGACAAGTATTTGAAGCCTGAACAAATTATGTAAAGTACCAAGATAAATACAAACTAAATAACATATTTTAGCTTTTGAAACACAGGTACCTGAAAAGAAAAGAAAATATGGGCCATACATATTTTCATTGCACCGTTAGTCAAAAAGTAGTATTCCCCTCCTGTGAAAATAGCTGTGGATTTTAAAATATTCCCTTTCCATATATGGGTATATTTTCCAAAAAATATAAGAGAAAATACAAGTCTCAGAACAGTCAAAGAAATCAGGCAGAACAGAAATTGGAGCTAACACAAAAACTCTACTCACCTTTTTTTTTTTTTTTTAATTTTGGTGAAAGTATTCTCAGAAGTAGTACATTTCTCCTCAATCTTGTTGAGTAACTGCTGTTACTACTGCAGACAGTGACTGTATATAACAGTTGTACATTATGTTAAATTCAGAAGAAATGCCTTTATTAGCACTAATACAAGGAACATGATTAACTCACAGCATTAGGACCTGTAGCCAAATATACTTATTCACTAAAAATATTTCCTTACCTTTAACATAATTTTAAGTCATAGAACCATAGAATAGTTTAAAGTCCATCTAGCCCAACCCCCCTGCAATGAGCAGGGACATCTTCAACTAGATCAGGTTGCTCAGAGCCCCGTCCAACCTGACCTGGAACGTTTCCAGGGATGGGGCACCTACCACCTCTCTGGGCAACCTGTGCCAGTGTTTCATCACCCTCGTTGTGAAAAATTTCTTCCTTATATCTATAAATATACCCTCTTTTAGTTTAAAAGCATTACCAATTTTTGTATTCTCTTTTTTTTTTTTTTCAATTCCCCATCTGAATTAACATTTAGCTCAGAAGAGAGCAAGCTTCCTTTCATACTATAGGAAGATGTTGGTTATCTGCCAAAATAAATTCTTACCACTGGCTTTAGGCAGTTTCTCAGAGGTCACATGTGTGTATTTTTAGGCTTCGATTTTAAGTTAAAATGCTTACGTTTTCTTACAGCAACTCAGCAAGATTAGGGGACCTAATTTACTTAAGATTCCTCAAAAATCTCAGTTTTAACTAGCTTGTTTCCTTATTGCAAATGAAATAACAGCCCTTCTCCACTAAACTTAGAATTTTACTGACATGAATTGCCAGCTAGTGTAAAACTACATAGAATGAAGTATATGAAAAGCCAAAACAGTGAAACAATCTGCTTGAGTTTTGAATGAGATGCCTCAAGTGGACCAGCACTGACAAATAAGAAAAGGCTGGTGAGAGTTGGGCTAGGAACAGGCCATTCTTGGTCTGACAAAGAACATTTAGACCCACATCCTTTCAAAGTCTATAGAATTTGCTGTGGGAACAGCAGCTGCCTTTTGCCTTATAAAATTCTTTAGGAAAAGTACGTAATACAGTACCCAGCCAAAACCCCACCCCTAAATGCACAGAAGGTACAATGTGATAGGATTTGATGCTCAGGCAAGGAGCTAGGCATTGCAAGCACAAAATCGCAGCTGTGGCTGTGTCAGTAAGCCTGAGAAGGAACGCTGCAGGGTAGGCTTCCCACGAGTAACCTACACCAGCCCAAGGTTCACACCAGTCCGGCTATGCCTGTCCCTGTAGGAAAAACTAGGTCAGCCGTGTGTTGGGAAGCGGCTGAATGGTGTTGACCCCATCCCTGCTCCTCCCTGCGCGGCTGCCTCCCCTCCGGGCTGCAACCAGCTTTTCAACATGTACCCAGGTTTCAGCTTTCTTCGAGTGGTCATTTTCTTTATAGTACAGTACATTTGCTTGGTAAAACACAACCAGTGAGCCCTAGGGCTCCACAGAGACAACCTAAGCCCATTTGTATGAAAATCATGGGCAGCACAGGTCACTGGAGCGCTTCTGTCTGCTGGCTGTAATGGCAGGGGCAACCCTGCCTGAACTATGAATTGTCCAACACAACAAACAGTAATTTTATTCTGTCTTCCAGCAGCATAGCCAAGCCCTCCTATCTGTACGCAACTGTGAGGCTGAGGTCTCAAAGGACTTAGTATTTAAATCAAACCGATGAACGTCTTTTTTGAACAGAATATGTATCACTGAGTCCTGACCAGATCATACTGCAGCCAGAAGCAGAATCTCAAGATCATACAGGATGCTTTTATAAGGTGGTGAAAAATCACCATGACAAAACTTTTATTCTAGCTTTTCCTGGCTTCTAATAAGCTCTTAGTTGCTCCAGTCATATTTCACGTGGCATCTATCACCTGTTAAGACAGAGAGCTTAATATCCATTCTCACACTGTATGCTCACGTCCTCTCAATGCAAGTTAAATTCCTTTGACATATTAATTTCCCAAAGGAAATGCAGAAATATTAATATAATAAGATAGACTGCCAAAGCATTACTAACATCAAAACACTTGAAAGTCACGCTAGGCAAAAATACAAAAAAAAAGGGGGGAAATAAAACAATAAAGTGCTTTAAGTGTGAAACCCACATGAACAGGAAATATTGAGTGGAGAGTTTATTCAATCCATTCTTGTCTCAAGACCATATTAAACAATTTAGTAAAATACAGACAGTGTATATCCCATGGGATATATTAACTGTTTTTAATCAGCTAGAATATTTGGACTGTGGCATTCTTGTGTCCAGGCTTACAAAACCTTCACTGCTCACCAGAGAGTACATCTGAGTTATAAGGCACTTGTGCTATTGACCCTGGCTTCATCCTGGGTATAATCTCAGTTTATAATCATAAATAATCTTAATTCAAGGATTGCTTTCTTATTTACATTAGGACCTCTATGTGTGTCCTTAGATTATTACTCATTTTGGACAAAATGCTGCCCATCCTACACCCCTTCCACAGACAGCAATGGCTGTGGACGAGTATTAAATGGTGCTGGGACAGACCTGCTCCTGGATCTGCTGTCTAAAATAGTAAGAACATTTATCACGAAAATCTAGGGACAAGACAAATTTAGAGGGTTTTCCAACCCTGCCTCACAGACAGAATAGTTACGTTTATACTGCAAATTTGGTTCTGAATCAGCCATACCATTAATTTCCTCAATCTGAGTTGTGACACCTCACAGAAGTTTTTGAGGCTTCAGGTAAAAGGTGACTGGGTCTGCCAGAGTTTTATACCACGCTGGGATAAATGAGATGATGGTGCGAGCTAACAAGGTCTGAGCTAAGAAGCAGTGAGCAACAGCTTTCCAGCTCCCCACTCTTTCATTTTGTTGTAAACTTTCCAAAGTTGATTTGAATCACTGTTGTTAAGCTAATTCCCTAGAAAATTATTCTGTGCACTTTTCAGTTGTTATTCAGCATCTGGTAGCTGACATGAATGTTTAATTTTTCACTAATTTGGACATGATTACAGTGAGGTGGAAGACTGAATAAGCCACAGCCCTGGGCTCAGGCATATGCTTAACCTGCAGTATAAGACATAGTTTCTTCACCTGGGATCAGGCTTTTCTCTCTTCTGTGCCTTCGGTCGTTCTGTGTTTTGTCTGTTCAGACTGCAACGCTATGACAGCAGGTGCTGATTTTTACCCTGTGTTTGCCCTGTCTCCAGCACCATGTCACCACGATCATGCCTGGAATATTCATGTCCTGCTGTAGTACAAATAACAAGAAGACCTGTGCTTGCAGCACCGAAATAAGCCAAATCCACACAACAGTTTGCTGGCTTGGGGCATGAACACTCCACATCCTCAGGTGGTATCACCTTGGCAGAAAAAATCAAGATGTCAATTTGTTTATGCTCCCAGCAGGCAGCTTTTGCTTATTTTTAGCTTATTCAGAGAAGCAGTGTAAATCAGACAGCAAAAATTGGCCTAGTCCAAGTCTACACCAGGAGGATCTACAATGTCTCACTGCAGGCTGTACTCTTGGCAAGCACAGAAAATGTGAAGTAGTAGAGCTCAGGCTCATCTTCGTTGGCCAGATCCCTTACTCTTTCTATGTAAGAAAAAAAGTCTTCATCAAAAATCATAATCTCTTTTTGTAAGAATATTAATGCATCTAAAAAAAAAACCCTAATAAAATCCAAAGCAATTTTTCCGCAATCACTAAAAAAATAAACTCTTAAACCATTCATGGAGAACTTCTCCATAGCAGGTAAATGTTTCAGGAAAAAGTATCCAACAGAACATAAAACCAGAAATGACATTAGTTATCACTATACCTTCATCTGTATTGACCAGCTTTACATGCAGGTGCTAAAGTGCTCTCCACAACACACTTCAATTACAGTATTTAAAGCTTGGCATCTTCAACCAGGTTTAATAATGATCCATTTTCCAGAATATCCATTGTTAATTCAGAATACCCACTGTTATTTTGTACAACATTCCTTGAAATGACATGTCATGTGATGGAACAGTAGGTGTTTCTTGATTTTATGTTGTTCTGTACTTCAAGAAGTTACTTAACAGAGTTAGGCAGTTCAAATGATTCTAACCTCACAGAAATTTTTTACAATGTAATACATAATGCAAGATATAGTCAATAGTAATGGTATATACATCTTATTATATCATATAAAGGTTATACGATCCTAATTTGTTTTTTATTCATACCGGTAAAGACATTTTGAGTTAATGTGCTTGTCTGTTCTTCAGAAAAGGCAATGCTTTAGAATTACCCTTCTTGCTTTGCTTTGTATTCTTCTTTCCTAGTCATATTTTCTCATACTTTATAATCCTTTTCAAGCAAAATTTATTT